CTCAGGCAGCTTCTGGCCGCAAGAGAAGGAAGACGGCAGGCAGATCTCGAGCTCATAGTGATGAAGAGGACGAGGAAGAAGAAGAAGAAGAAGTCATAAGCCTTTCAGATGACAGCAGTGAAATGGATAGGACACAAGGAGTTTCTCGAGAGACTCCTGCTACGACTCGACGTTCGCAGAGAATGAGAAAGATTCCTGTCGGGGGCTATCGTGAAGACGTCGAGGACCCTGTGGAAATTAGTTCTGATGAATCTCTAGATGTGGAGATGGCTGGCCCAACCGAGACTACCCAGCAAAACGAGGTCCCTGAAGAGGAACTTAGTGACCACGATGTCCTTGTGATGGATCACAGCGCTGAAATATCAACCACCGTTAAACAAGAAGACACAGAGAAGTCCTTGGAATCTACTATGGAACCTACTCTTGATTCGGAAGCCGTCGTAATTACTTCTGAGCCAAGTCGACCTTTCATGGAGATCGACGACGAAGACGACAAGAAAGACAAGCTAGCACTGAAGCTCAAGTATCAAGGTTTCAACATCTTTGGACGCTGTCTTTGCGTAGTCGTGGAGCCATGGCCTCCAATTCGATCTGTCACACGAGCGCCATCCGTAATACCCCTAACAAACGAGGCATTAAGAGGCTCGACAATCGCACCTCCTGATTTCGTACCTAGCAATAACAGCCAAAGAGCCCGCACGCCTCTCTTCCTGCCAGAGTTTGACAGAGGTAGAAGCCTGACCCCGGCTCCTTTTCCTCGAGCAAAGACCTTGCCTCCAGTTCCCCTCTTCAATGATCCTGCCCCTGATTCTGATTCTGATGGTTACGGTAGTGATGATCTTATGATATTTAGCCAAGCACTTAATGCAGCTGGTGGCATGCACGTTGCGGCTGCAGATGACGATGATGAGATGGATGGAGCGGTATTATTCGGGGATGCAGATGAGGTGAGGGAGTTTTCGTAGTAAGGCTACATAGTCTATTAGATATCTAAACTCGATCCGTAATTTTATGCACGTCCTATCTCTCTTAATATCTCCAACCTACGTGCTTCAGAGACTTGTCTGAATCCTGCGTTCAGCATATCAAAGAGACCATGTCCCCCAGACAATGCACGAAGACGGGTTGAATAATCTAGCATGCGGCTAAGTGGTGCGACTGCATGAATTGTGCGTTTAAGCCGTGGAACATCATTTGAAAACTTGTATGACGTAGAGGCAGCGGATGAGGGCGATAGTTCTTCTGGAGGGATGTACAATCCATCCGTGGAGTATGCAACTACTTCGTCTCCATCCATAGCTGGCGTATCGGAAGCAAGGTCCAAAACTTCGCCACCGTTTTCAGTAAGATCTTTGACAACCTTTCCCATGGTGTCCTCATGAAGAGATATCTTGAGCTTGATGAATGGCTCTAACACGGGACCCATTCCTGCTTCTTGTATTCGAGTTCGTAGAATGGAGGAACTAGCACCGGCAAGAATGGACGTTGGAATGTCGCGGGGAAGGTTGTACTCCGTGACATGAATCTTAATGTGAGAGAGCGGCAGGGACGTATGTGGTGAATTCGATAGAGAGCTGGACAAGCCTCGAGCGATATTGGCCATAGGGTCCAGCTGATCCCGGAAGGCATCTGGAGACAACAGAGGCTTTCCACTTGGGCCCAAGACAAGGTTGCCATCCCAGACTGGATCCCCCTGCTCGTCGTCAGCAAGAGGTTCCATCGTCATCAGGATTTTGATCGTGACTGGTTTTCCTGAAACCTCAGTGGTCCAATTGTTTACATTGGAGCTAAGCCCAGGTCCTAGAGATTCACGATAGCTGACGCGGCGGCTACCCAATTCAAAATTGACATCCCATTCGTCCCGTAGTCTCCCCTCGACAATCTCGAGATGCAGGGCACCTAATCCGTGGACAAGTAATTGGCCCTCCTGCATATCGACTCGAACAGAAGGGTCTGTGCGAGATAGAGCATGCAAAGCCTCTTGTACAGGGTCGAGGTCAGAATGAGACTTGGGTATGACGGAGGCTGACATAACCGCGGGTGGTGGAACTACTCCTCGAAGGGATGTTTGCGATGAGTTAGACGAATGGCGAGCATCGACAAGAGTGTCGCCTGTGCGAGTGAACTTCAAGCCTAAGATGACTCCGACGGAGCCATACGGCAGGGACTCGACTTCCTGTGCTTCCGCAGCGTATAGGAGAAGAACCTTTGAAATTTTCTCTTTCTGACCACTGGTAACGTTAAATACAGAACTCTGACGCTTGAGGGTTCCTAGCATGCTCGATGAACAATACTCTGTGTAAATCATGCTGAACTTACCGGAATACACGCGAACGAACGTCATCCATCCTTTGCGTTTATCCCAGCTCACTTTCCACGCTAAGAGGCGCAGTGGTCCGTTAGCTGACTCTGCGTCTAATCGAACGTCCATTGGGCTTGCCAGGAGCTCGCCAACGTAGTTCATTACCAATTCTGTACCAATACTTTTCATCGCAGAACCGCAAAGAACAGGCAGAATATCATTGCTTAAGGTAGCTTTACGAAGATGTGGAATGATTGCAGACATTTCGACATCAAGATACGATGAAGGTCCCGGCGGCAGGGCGAGTAGGTGTTCCATCAATTCATCAGAGTACATCGAGAGGTTTTCCAAAAGAGTTGTCCGAGCGGCCACAAGGTGCGGTATCATGGGATGGTTTGTCGGAAGGATACCGCTTGTCTCGAGTTCTTCGACTGTTCTAGGAAGGGATTGTATGGTAGAGTGGCCGTCTTCCGTCCATTTCCAAATTTCCCATTTTACCAGATCGACCAACCCTTGAATACCTGGTTCGGCTCGCATGTAATCTTCAGTACGGAAGGAAGCAACTGGCAATACCAAAGCCATGGGGTTTGGGTGCAGCCTATGGGTAAGTAGCGAGACCAACGACGACCTGAAAGAAGCACCCGGTCGGTCAAGTTTATTCAGAAACATAAGCCTAGTGGGGACACCATATCTAAAAATGACTTCAGAAACATAGGTGGTCGAAATAAGGTATGCACTTACCGATCCAGTTGTCGCCAAACGCCCTTAGTCTGTGCTTCGACTCCTTCCACTGAATCAATGAGGACGACAGCCCCGTCAACAACGCGACTTGCACTCTCCACCTCCATACCAAAATCAGCATGACCTGGTGTATCTATGAGATTAAAAGTCCATTTATCCCACTTGACCGGAATGCTCGCGGATTGAATTGTGATGCCGCGCTCTCGTTCGGCAGGCAAGAAGTCTGTCGTAGTGCTGCCAGTGTCAACTGATCCAGGGGCTGCCAGGTAGGCCGACTTGTGTAGTATGGACTCCGTAAGCGTAGTTTTCCCGGAGTCTGTGTTTTTTCAGATTGGTTCATGAGACGCGTTCTGGCAGACGCACCAATGTGGGCTACCAGCGCCATGTTTCTGATAAGAGAAGTCTCATGGTGAGCCTCAGTAGCCAAGAAGCGTTGATTCAGGAACTTCAGCTGGCAATCCCTCACCGGTAGCCATAAGACCCTACGAAGCATGACCTGTGGACCAGTACGCGGAATCATCCGAGGAGTGATTCGATCGTGGCCTTGTGAATTCAACAAGACCAAACAGTTTCTCCTCATCAGAATTTCAATCATTTTATATTCAGTACTTTATCTTCATAAACGCTCATAAACGCTCATGTCTTCTGATGTTCCCAACAATTTTGAGGACCGATTGCGACAACGCGCTTCTACCACTAGGAACACGAACACGAACACGCTAGAAACTATACCCGTGAACCATCAACCTCATGAAAATATCCCGAATACACCGCTTGCAGCATCCATGATATCATTTGTATTAGGATGTATCTTTTCTCTTGGTTTGGCACTCTTTCTCACTGGAGGCATCTCTGATCACTGGTGGGCCACATATCAGCTGGGCTTCTTCCTTGCCGCCTGGTCTGGCTTCCACTGGGGAGAATTCGCGGTCACAGCAGGCTGGAACCGTGACAAATGCAGCGTTGACTGTGAGTTTGTCTTTGTAACTCTGAAAGATATCTACTAAATGATGTGACAGCGTTCTTACTTGATAATGGCGCTATGTATCACGTCGCCAATGGGACCGCTCTTGTGGAATACCTAATCACGTTATACTTCAAACCATCGCTCAAGGCTTACCACTATATCTCAACGATTGGTTAGTTGCGATTGGCTCGCAAGAATGAAGCTGATGAATCTTCGCTAGGTGTAATCATGGCTGTCATCGGACAGACACTGCGTGCATCGGCAATGATACAGGCTTCGACTAACTTCTCTCATATCGTAGCTCTCCGCAAGCTGCCTTCGCACCGATTAGTAACTGATGGTGTATACTCGTGAGTGGAACATCTTCTTGATCATACCATTACATACACTTAAGTAACTCCACAGGGCGTTCCGCCATCCATCATACGCAGGATTTTTTTACTGGGCGTTAGGGACCCAGCTGGTTTTGCAAAACCCTATCAGCTCCATTGGCTTCGTACTAGTCTTGTGGAGATTTTTCTCGCGTCGTATCAAAGGTACATATTTATTATATCACTCGTGGATGCATTGACTGATTTCGGAGCAGTTGAAGAGAGGGCATTAGTGAATTTCTTTGGAGAGGAATATGATAACTACAGGCGGAGGGTCAACACTAACATTCCATTCATACGATAGACTTAAGAGTATTTAATCAAACATATTTTCGTCTGACGACTGGGGCCAATACTTCCAGGGTGTTCCTATGCCATAGGTAGGTCCAAGTCACTTCCTTATATTTTGATACATGGTCGACTTCGTAGAATATATAGGTAGAGTGGCTCATGGAGAGGACACCTCAGATTCTCATGTAGTTCGAAAAATCAGAGTTTGTTCTGTACCCCACCGATGGTCTTCGACTCTTGCAAAGGTCTCGATCAGTAGTAGAATGTCTTGCGTAGAACATAGGGTTGATGGAGATTAATGCATATGTGACATGGAATTTTGTATAATGCCCAGCTTCCCTTACAAACCACAACCCGTCTACTCCTGAGTGATGGTCGTGCGGTCGGATACGTAGATACCATCCAAGAATTTACGGATATCCTTGTTCCGTACGCGGCAAGCACCCTGAATGGAGGCGGCTAAGGCAGCAGTTTAGGCAAAAATTACTCGGCAGTGGAAGGATGTTATGCACCTGATTGCGAAACATTCTCAATATCATTACCCTCGAGGATAAGCTCGTCTTTTTGAGCCTTGGACTCTGAAATATTAACTCCACCGAGCATCTTTACGTGTCGTACAGTCTATTTGCCTTGAGCAAAAACTGAAGTAACGCCGTGGATAACGACTTACTTTCTCTCCCAGGAAGTTACGGATCTCGATAGCGTTTCCACTATCTTGGATGATAGCGTTGATTGGAAAATGGGCATATACAGCGCGCATTTTGTAGAGGAAGCCCTGAGTCCTGAGTAAGCTATGAAAAACGCCCTGCATGTGGGTGCACAAACCTTAGTCACACCAATGACCATGTTGTTAATCAAGCTTCGGATTGTCCGTAGACATGCGACATGCTTGCGCCCACCTTGCCACACCGCGAGAGTGACCTTGCTGCTCTTCTTGGTCTTCAACACCCGAATATCCATATCGACATGACGGACATTCTTCGTAAGGGTACCCCGTGGGCCAGTGACTTTGATAACGCGTGACTTGATTTCAATGGCAACACCCTCAGGGACCTCGAGTTCTTCAGTTTGGAGGACGTCCCGCATCTACGTGCGAAGTCAGTTACTTCATTCGATATTGAGACATCCTCGATGCGGGTAGTCAATCCATCACCATCCAGAGGTCCAATCCTCGCCAAATTTCTTCCAGGAACATAGATACCAACACCCTGGAAGTTGACCCAGTCACATCTGAATTCAGCACGAACTCACCTTGCGATCGTTGGTTTTCTTGAGGTCGGTGGGCGGCTGTGTATGTTCGGGGGGTGGACAGAAGTGGCGGACAATTGCGAGCGGAGTTTAAAGTCTAATTAGAGACGGCTATTGTCAGCCGCTTCTTCCACTCAAACCACCATCATCGTTTCCGTTGGGCTTCGTGGTCGTGTCATTGACAGCTGAGTAAGACCGCCATTGGAAAAAACGGGTTTCTAGCGCCAGTCGATCGTTCAAGAGTTTTGTGTTTTATCAAGATCTTTACTTCTCCTCACTTTCTGGGTGAGATCGTACTGCATTTGCGGTGACTGTCTCGCACTTCGTTGAGAATTTTTTAAAAACGACTGTCATGTACTCTCAGCCCCACATGTACGGGCAGGTGGCTTATGCAGCACCACCAAGCTATCATCAGCCTGGACCTTCTGCTTACTCTTACCAGCAACCGCCCCCACCTCCTGCACCTGTCTACTTTGTGGATCCCAATTCTTTTCGCCGTGATTATGCAGCGCGACTGGCAGAACTTACCATTAACTCCAGACCTATCATTCAGACCTTATCGATGATTGCTCAAGAGTATTCAAAATGGGCTGAGATTGTCGCTCAATGTTTGGAAGCCCACATTCGAAGGGTGAGTCGTCGTTGATATCGTTTTTATGGCATGTTGCTGTCAGTTGGTAGTTGACACATGGCTATATCTGTTACTTTAATGCGCTGCTTTGCGGTTACCATGTACTTAGTCATTAGTCTCGTAGTAGTTTGAAAGATATCCTCGCAAGGCCTGGTGGCCCCGCTGCATGGCGGATGGAGGACATCGTACTAAGAGAATTATGTCGCTCTTCTCAACGTGGCAGCTCAGCGCTTTTCTTTTTGATGGGTTGTGTTATGGACATGAAGCTGACTCATGCTTGCCTTTTTGGTGTGGTTTTCTCGCATCGCTAGGTTCCTCCGTGGATTAAGCTCCCAGGCTTCTACTTACTGGACGCGATATCGAAGAATGTCTACGACCCGTATACGCGCCATTTTACTCCCTTCGTCATTGGTTTATTCCTGGAAACTTATCAGCAGGTTGATCAGGCGACTCGTAGCAAGATGGAAGAAATGCTTTTAACCTGGCGAACAGCCTCTCCGACTGGCAAGGAATTGTTCGGCGTCATTCCACAACTTGCCATTGAACGTGGAATATGGGGCGGCGATTCGAATCCAACAGGGGTGAGTTAACTTCGACGATCCCGCCGCTCCAACGGACTGAATATACTTTCTTAGGCAACATCTGGCCAGATATCGAGAGCACAGGTCCTGAGCGAACTTGAATTTACCCTGAGCCAAAAGGAACGCGCCCTTCAATCGAATGCTTGGGATACTACTGCACAGAGGCATGTACAAATTTTGCAACAGGTAAGTAACACTTTCCGTCGTCATTGTCTGTACGCTTATTTGGAGCAATTCAGTTGCGCAAGCTTGTTGAAGCAGGTGTTTCTCAAGATGAGCTCCGTCAAATCCTGACCCAGCTGAGATCTCTATCACAAGCCCCTCAACCTGCCGCGGCCGCTCCTCCGACAACTACTACATCATATCAATACCAAGCTCAGCCTGCATACCCTCGCCAAACTACGCAATCTGCATTCTCACCTCCAGTATCACAACACTCTTCCTCTACTACTTATACGTCTTACGCCTTGCCGTCCATTAATCAACCTAAATCTGAACCGGTCGACTCTGCATCTCTTTTATCGAGCGTGAAATCTGCAGCTGCCCCCTCAACTGACATCGCTGGACTTTACAGTGCTCTTTTAAAGGCCGGCATTGTGGCTGGCACTGGTACGCCCGTTGGTGCCGGAGCGACCGCCACTTCTGAGGACACTGTTACATCGTCGTCTGAAAACATGAGTCGGGATGCTGCAAGAGCATATCGCCAATCAGTTTTATCGCAGAACATCAGGCTAACGAACGCTGATATCACAAGGTATGGTTGATACCCTTTCGCTGCTGATCAGTGTTAATCTAGTAATGCAGAAAACGTCCTAATATTGACCGTTTATTGTATGATCGATTACCCGCCCAGTGTAAGCAGTGTGGTGTCAGATTTTCGGATGATACACTAGGAAAGAAAGAGATGGAGGATCATCTTGACATGCACTTCAGACAAAATCGTAAAGCAAATCAGAGCCTTGGTCGTGGACATAGTCGCAGTTGGTTTGTCGACCTTGATGTACGATTTCCCTTTTTGTTGGACCCCAAACATGCTAACCGTCTTTCGCAGGATTGGGTTCACGAGGGTCGTGTAGATGTGAAGGGTAAAGGCCGTGCTGACGGTCCTCGGCCTACGACCAATAAGGCTGCGCTTGCAGTAGATGCAGCACGACGTGATGCTGAGCTGCGCACGCAGTTCGTTGTTGTGCCATCGGGCGACGAAGCGAAGTCCTTGTCTTGTCCCATATGTAAAGAGACTCTGAAGACAGAGTTCCTAGAGGATGACGAGGAGTGGGTCTGGAAGAATGCTGTCAGAAAGGACGATAAGGTGCGTCTCGGCTCGTCCATGATGAGCATCTTAATAACGTATTGGCCTAGATATATCACGCAACATGTTATGCTGAAGCTATGGGTTCGATGCATACTCTGGCTTCAAGATTACGCCAAGATACAAGCAGTCGGAGCAGGTCTGGCACACCAGATGCTTCTAGGGCTACTCCCCAAAAGGGCAACTCAAGTGTACGGTCCTCGCAGTCTCGGTCACCCGACTCTAAACGCGCTACACTCAAGCGCAAGGCGAGTGTCGATGATTGCAGTCAATCCTCTGTCAAAATGGAGAGTAATGGAACACCGCCTATGAAGAAGATGGCGCTTGCACCCTGAGAGTTGCATTATAGATTTTCCACATCTTTATTGGAATACTTATTGAACATCATCACATGTATTAAACAAACGCATATCATATACATCATGATTGAATTGACTTTATATAATTGCGAAGTGTCCGAGTTTTTGAAACAACCACTCCAACAGAATGTCATTGTATTGTCATTGTTGTAAATTAGTTGCAAAAGCCGGTTAGCACATAGTCTTTGTTCCACGCGTTTTCCGCATTCCCCGAGAAAACTCGGGTTTTTTCACTCTTGACTGCATGAACAACTCAATCAACGACCAGTACGTTCTATCCGATGTCATTTTCTAACCTTTTGTCACTACAGCAACCTGGTTTCGGAAATGGAGATTTTAAGCACAGTGAGGACCCTATCGCTCATCACTCATTCAAGTTCAAATGTCCCTTACTACGCGAAATCGCAGCCCCGTCTCCCCCGAGTACTCATCTGTTTGAAACGCTGAAGAGTATCGACGAATTCTCAAACAGCCTAACTCTAAGGGATGTCGAAATGCAGGTACGCTATCACGTCTGCTCGGTCTGTCCCAACAGACCTCGTATTGATTGTTTGCACGCCACCTCTAGGCTCCTCTATCGGAGGAACTGACCGTCGTCGTCCTTGACACGAACATACTACTGGACTATCTTGATGTAATACAAGTATTCGTCACGGAGGTTGAAGAGCAGGGATTGCCTGTATTGATCATTATCCCGGGCGTTGTGATTTACGAGCTTGATGGGTGAGTGTGGTGGTAAATCGTATGAAGAGCGCTCATCTGATGATCGTTTACTAGGCAGAAGAATCGCGAGAGACTCTCTTGGTTTGCCCGTAGAGCATCATCATGGTTGCTGAAAAAGGTGAAGGAACGAAGGTCGGTCAAAGGCCAAGCCTTGAACGAGACGTGCAAAGCCTCGGGAAATTGGAAAAAGAGGGACCTGGATGCTGTACTGGTAAGTCTTGTTATAAGTCCTTGTTCCATCTTTGATGATGATTTGGATGGTAGGAATTTGGTTCAGAGCGTAGCAACGACAGTTTGATCATCGATTGCTGCAAATATTTCCTATGGCAACGGCGAACATTTTTGTGTAGCAAAGACAAGCTTTTAATCGTGGAAGCCGAAAGTGAATGTAGGTATATGAATATGATCTGTCATGCGCAAAGTTCTCATACGTAACCGACGCGGGAAGGTGTGTTGACAATATCACCCAGTCGGAACACATTTTCTAGCCGGGATATTGCTGAAGCTCTCTTTGGGGCTGAGGCTGCTGCTCGCTTCAGCAAATGTCATGCAACTTATCGAAATTCATTGGAGAATTTGACACAAGTGACACCTGCACCAGAGCCAGATGATGACGTAATGGATGTCGACGATGATGCCTCTTCTGTACCTCAGCTTCTACAGCCAAGCCACTCACTAGATCTCCTCCACGTGCAAGTGATCGATTATTTCACGGGGTTGCTTCTGGAACTAGTTGCTCGTGTAGCAGGCCCTGACGTGCGGATTTTTGGCTGCAGCAACTCAGCATCGAAACACGCGCCTTCCTATTCAAGAAAGAATTTTGCAACGTGGGGTGCTGTAGATTGTTTGGACTACCTAGGCGCGAAGAAAAGGCTGCCTAGGACTAGTCCACGGGTGGACACCTTCATGACACGGCCATACGAAGGTGTGGGGGCACGGAGAGGTCAAGATTGGTCCCGACGGGATTGGGATACGGCGTTAAAGGGGTTGAGGGAAATAGGCGATGACTGGCAAGAAGGATCTATTCGTGAGTCAGTGCCTGCCGCCGAACTTCACATCAGCCGCGTATTTGCGATGCCGATGCGACCAACGGGGCTGTGACCGAAGTCTCCCCGCATCATGAGATAGTAATCAGACCGTAGGCATGAGGCTATGACAATACAACTAGAATGTGTAAATGTTGACTTGATACAATGTTTCAATCATGGTCCAAATTTGGCAAGGGTGAAATGAACCTTCTGTTCTCGGTTGCGTTCTTGTTTGGCAAGTTTCTCCTCTTTACTCTATTTTTCCTTCTTCTTCCTCTCCCTCATGGCAAAACGACGTACACTTTATATTCTCCTTATTCTCCTTGCTCTTGTTCTATTCGGCACCGTCGTCGTCTTGTCTTCCATCTCTTACTACCTCTACATCAATGCCGCAGCATATATTCCAGACAGGGAGGTCCCAGTGTTAAGCAACACAACACGCTGGA